TGGTATATTTGTTTAAGTTTAAGTTAATTTAATTAATTATATTATCAAGTTATTGTTAATTTTAAGTTAAGTTCGATCCAACACTTATTGCATATAGTCTCTATAGAAGCTCAAGCTATGTGGTGTAAAAAAAACACCTTAAAGTTTTCCATGGCAAAAGTAAGTATAGTCAATAAACAATAGTAAATAAAAAGTAAATTAAGTTAAAAAAGCAACAACACATGAGACTAGTTAAATAAATAGTTATTCCAACTCTGCTAATGAATATTTTTGACAAATTATCAGATCAAGGTTATACACAGTGTTATATCTCTTATTTCTTATTATTTCGTAAATTTCCTTAAAATTTAACATACTGCATTGGATTTGTTTGTCTCCTATCTGTTTCATTTTACCCCGCCTATGGGGTAAAAAGGATCAGGTGACAAATTTTTGAAAAACAAACACAATTCTACAATCCCACATTTCAGCAAAAAACAAGTTTCTACAATGATGAATTAGCTAGGAGTTTTACTAAACATAGTCTGATAGTGGTTTGTTTGATATGTGTATTGGTCTGGGTTTCACACATATAATTATTTAAAATCAAATTAGACCTTTGTCCAAACACAACGGGCTGGCATCACTAACATTATAATAATATCATAAGCCCTTCGATTGAATTATAAAAAATCTCCAAAGTTTGGAATTGCACCCTGGACTTCAGCGATTCTGATCAGAATTTTTGCCTTATTTCGTAGGTAGCTATTGGTTACAGTTGACGTTCACACGTGAATAATATACATTTTTCTTCTTCCCCGCCCCGTTACGTTTTTAAAAAACTTTATAATTGTATACATTTTATTACTTTATAAAATTTATAGCATATCTCATGTTTTAACTGATGATATAAATCACTTTTTTAATTCATTCAACGCATGAAGGAGCCTCAGATTTACTAGTTTTGCATTGATTGATCTCTCTAATTATGCTACATCGGCATATAAACAATAGACAAACGCAATAACTGGCATACATGGGCGTGAAAACATATGTATAATCGCAAGTGCATTCATTGATTACTACAAACACATCGTTTTGCAAGTTTTTGCATTAATTGTTTATAGAGAAAACCACATAGCGTACGATACTTTGACTTACTTTAGTGGATTGCAAGAAATTAACATAGGCAGGGAAGGCCGATAGCTTTATATATATATATATATATATATATATACATATATACTAGATGACCCGACACGTTGTCCTGTACCCATGTCTACCAATTAGTTAAATTTACCAATTAGTTAAAAATTATTATCTTATATATTTTAATTTTTGGCACATCTCAGCTGCTTTTTGGCAACAATAATGTAACGGCAACATTACATTTTTCTTATTCATAATCATGAATATATTATATTTTAATATTGTCCTTAGCTCATAATTGAATAGAAATGTTTGGCAAATGACAGTTTTCATTTGATTTTATGTCAAACAACGCCTCAAATATTTTCAATGTCAATCAATGATGTCAAATTATTTTTAGTTTATTTTAAATTTTTTCTAATCTACATTTCTACAATCTACACATTTCTATATTAAAAAAATCCTAAAAAAATTTCTTAACAAACTTCTGAAAGATTTATCAAAATCCGAATAATCGTTTAGGAGGATTATCCTTTCATACCCCATTACAGGAGATTTTATATACGAGTATAAGATATGTATATATATATATATATATATATATATATATAAATATATATGTATTACAGTCGAGTATGTTGCTCGGTATGGGCGTGTTTTCTTGCCTCACAATGTTAAATTTTAAAACTTTTAGTCAAATTTTTCATTTCTTTTAGTTATTCATAATTTTTTCTACAAAAATGTTTTTTTCTAATATGTTATCAGTTTAATTTTTTAAAATAAAGTTTTTTTTTGAGTGTTTTTGTCCTGTGGTGTGTAAATGTTTCTCTATGTTATAATTAATCTATATTGGTGTTTATATTAGTTAATAAAATTTTCAAATTGTTGTAGTTGCTGAATGATGACACGCATCTTGTGTCGAAACGTATAAATAAAAGTTTTTATACTTTATATACCTTTTTTATTTCGACGAATGGGCTGCTAGTTACTTTGAAATATATATATATATATATATATATATATATATATATATATTCCTTCTAATATTATCAATTATTGACCTTGCCGACTAATCGAGTTAATCATATGCACTTCATGTCAATACATTGTTTTTATTTTGGACATTACGCATTGTTATAAAACATTTCGTTGTTATTATTGTTAATTGTTATAATATTTACGCCTTTGCGTCGTCTCATGTGTAATATATGCGATTCAATTAGATTAAAAAAATGACTAAAACAGGTTGCGTTTTCTTTCTATGTAGCAAACAATATAACTCGTTTTCTTAAATATGATAATGAAGATGACATTGTTTTTATTAATGTTATATTGAAATATTGTATCAGTACTATATTTAAGTACCTATAGTAATTTATTATAGTCAAAATCGTATTTTGTTAAATATGGAAGGTTTACTGTCGCGCAAAAATTCGGATTAGCTAATTTTCTCGACGCGTCAAATCGTTCTGAATCGTATGAGACCAGATTTATTACAAGTATAATCGTGCATGTCAGCCGATTTTTTGCCTTTCGTCAACGTTTTCTCAAAACATATTTGAGAAATTTAAAAGCAATTCTATGTAAATCGATAAAAATCTAGCGTTTATCAGTTATGTGCAATGATCAGCCTAGCCGTTTCTTTACAATTAACAGAAATTATAAGAATTTTTGTCCATGTTTTAGCTCACAATCTTAAATCAATTTTAAAAATTCAAAAACTGTTCGAAAGTTATTGGTTGGAAATCGCGTTTGCTAGTTCTTAGTAAAGATCGGCCGGGACATTTCTTGGTAGTTAAATATTGTATTTATTTGATGATATTGATTAAACGATAGATTTCATAGTATAAAATAACATACTAAAATATTATATACTAAAATATTATATTATTCATGACAATAGATTCGATAATCTGAAATAACATACTAAAGTATTGTAGATCAAATATTACATTATTCATGACAAAAGATTTTATTGTCTAAAATAACATACTAAAATTTCAACTGAAATTTGTTCATTCTTTTCATCTTACTGTTTACAGTCTTACTGTTTAGTTTTATCTATTTTCCAGATTCTAATTCTACTCAACTCCTTTCTTTTCTTTATACTAAAATAGACTAAAATATTATATTATTTATGATGATAGATTTCACAGGCTGAAATTCTAAACATACTAAAATATTATAGGACTTACGGTTAGCGGTTGAAATATAAAAAATCACCAATGTTTGGAATTTCGCGGCGCATTTGAGCGATTCTAATCAAAATCTATGCCTTTATATATGCCTATCAGAATATATGCCTATATGTTCTACTGATTACAGGTGACATCCACATATAAATTAAATACATTTTCATAATCCGAAATATTGATTTCGAAATGAAATGTTGTGCCAAACAAAATAATTTAATTTATACAATTTTTGATGTTATGAGTATGCTTCAAAGACATCAATTGGAAGATTTGAGAATTTTATCTAAAAAGCTGAAACTCAATTCTTATTGATTAAGTATACGTATCAAGCAGTTAAGGGGCACATCTAGTGTGAAATTTTGAAAAAATCGATTTTTGTTTTTTTTTCATACTTCGGTAGATTACACCCATTTATACTTGTTTATCTATGATTACACCTTTAAAAATAACATATTAAAATTTCAAATCGATATCGAATTGAGCTACAGCTATTTAAAAAGTATACATATAGTATATAGTACAACGATCATTTTATCTTTAACGCGTTTTTCTTGAAACAGCATTTTCCGAATTTGCTGCAACGATTACTCAAAAACAAATGATCCGATCACTTTCAAATTATTTTTACATGTTCTGTATATAGTTCTCCGTAAAATGAACTATCGATTTTTTGATCGGATCAAAAATCGAAATTTGGCAGTCGAAATACGACCTAAATTTTGGGTAAAATTCGACCTTTTTTTAAAACGTCGCCATTTTATCAATATTCGATTTATTTTTTTATCGTAGTTCATTTTACAGACAATATTATCTAGTTTAACGAGAATTGTTTTTTTTATTTTTTTTATTTCATCCACGTAGAAGGCCGGAATCACTGCAGCAGTTAAGGGCCTTTTTTTTGTCGCGCCGTTGGAGATCGACGATAACTTAAAAAATATTTAATTTTTTTCTTCAAAAATTTTACTATGTATTCTTAAAGCATGTATCAATATGTTTCTAAAATTTTGATATGATTGATAAAGTAGTTTTTTTTAATATAAATTCCCAAAAATCACATTTTTTTAGGCGGTTACACTAGTTGTGCCCCTTAATGCAATTTGCTTTAAGGAAAAATGTTTAGAATAAATTTGTCTTTCATTTATGTCAGATGTTATATATTTGTTTTTTCTGTCCACAGAATGTGATGCCTGTAACCGACGTCAAACAAGAATCGTAGCGGAAATAGAGAACCCACCTCAAAGCGCAGTACATTTCCGTTGGTTTTCATTGTGCCTGATCAAAGTAACAAAGAGAGTGGAATACCATGCGACATATACGGTGATTCAATATTAATTCGAACAATCTCTACAATTGATAATATCATTGAGCGATAACAGGTAAGCAGCCAGCAACCAGGCAGAGGGCACTTCGTCCAGAGTCGCGTCTCCTTGTCTCATGATCCATTCATAAGTTTTATCGCACGGCGTTGGCGCGGGCGCGCGGGGATCGGCGATCACAAGTGTTTATTTACGCGATCCGTCCGAACGATCCGAACAGTTTTCATCGAGATCCTGGCGACGGAACATCTTCGCCGAGTGCGGCATTTAGCGCCTCGGTTAATTCGCGACAACTTGTGTATTGATTAGATCAACATTTGCAATTTTTGTTTAGAGTGGTGAATATTTTTAGAACAGGTCATGCCATCGTAGTCTCATTCTTCACGGGCTCTGAGATGGGTGAACAAGAAACGAACAAGCAGCTGCGTGACAGCATGGAACACAAGGCAGTTGATGAGGTAGACTCATGTGGTAAAATCTTCGAGGCCAAGGCGCCTCGGATAGATTTGATGAACTTGCTGGAGTGTGACGAGAACAATGAGGAATCCAAAAAGTCAGATGAACCCGAAAATACCTCCGATGAACCGAAGAAGCGTTCGCTTTCAGCGGACAACACGGAGACAAGTTTCGGTAGTGGTGGCAAGACGGATTCTCAGTCCACCATAAAACAAGTACAGTGCATTACCAACAATAATAACAAAACAGTGCGTCGCTTTCAGTTCAAGCGTCCGCAGATATTGCGTTCCAAGTCCGTAGACGCTTTATTATTAAGTTGTCGTTGCGATCGTAAAGTGACAGAATTGTTTAAATCGTTCGAGCGCTTAGATTGTGGTAATACAAATAACTCAAATGTGAATAGTGAAACTGGTGCAATTGAAAACACAGAAGTGAAATTGCCAAGTGACCTCATGACTCGTTCAGAGATTATTGGGACCAATGCTCACATGCAGGCGAGCGCTGGTCCAGGCCGAAGGGCGGTAAACGCGGTGACACGCGGTCTTAGGCGCCTGGTCAGGAAACACTGCAGCAGTCTGGATATTAGCACGCCTGACCCCGAGTTCAAGGTGGCTTATTTGGGAAATGTCGTTACTGGATGGGCTAAAGGTGAGCCTTCATTTAATTTAATTTAATTATATAGTGTCTGTAGCAATTTAAACATTATATAGAGTTACACTTTTGTAAATGACTTCCAGTAGTTGAATGAAATGTACTGTCATTGAATTTTATGATTGTATCTTCTGAAAATTTTTCCGAAAGTTTCTTATATTTTTTTTGCTTTTATCAAAAAAATCAACTAAAAATCACCCACACATATATATGTAAATTACATAGTCTGAATTTGCATATGCATAATATTTAAATGTGTTTTTAAAAGAATTTTTATATCATTCTTAAAAAAATAGCATAAACTTTGCATTCATATTATAATTAAGTTAAGAACTTCGTAGCAGAATTAGTAAATCTTCAACTTTGAAAAAAATATTAAATGTAAATTTATATAACATATTTCTATATTTTTTTTTACTTTATTCCCCCATCTATCATTTACTATTAATTGCTTTAAGAGCCTTATTATTTTTAATGAAATTCTAAATAATTTTGTCAACATTGATAATATAAAGCACTTGATTAATAAAAAATTTATTCTTTATTAAACAAGACAAATTTTAAGAAGAATTCGTGATTGATCTAGTAATTTATTGGAGCGATTGCATTTTTATTATATAGTCTAATAACTAATAGTAATAATACAAAATAATACATAATTCCATACTAAATAATTCTCATTGTCTAAATTATTTCTCATTGCCTATTAGAACTAATTTAATTTTCATGGCATATTTATACTGAATTATATATTTATCATCTAAGGGTATTTTATTACAAATTCAGACCCAAAAATTTAGTAAAAATAATCGTCTATGAAAAAATATGATTTAAATTTTTATTCAGATTTGCTATCCCAAATTTGCGCCAATCAGTAACAAATGGGATATTAATAGCTTATAAAAATGAATCAGAATTTATATTCATCAGAAATTTTATCTTTTTCACTGAAATAGCATTCATAAGTTTTTAATCATAGCTGAATTAGTAAATCTTCCACTTTAAAAAAATATTTAAACTTGACTTTTTATAACCCATCTCTCTTTTTTTACTTTATATCCCCGATCAAAAATAAATAGCAAAATCTTTACAAATACAAATAAAATCTATTCGTATGTTTCAAGTAAACATTCGTTATAACATAACTATTTTAGCTGTATTATGAAATCAGTTATATAAATAGCAAATCTTTGCGAATTTTGCAAGAAATAAACGTGTAACATCATAGCAATCAAATGATTTTATTGCAAATACAATAATATATTTATTAATAGTACATTTATGAGCGATTTATTTCTGATTTATATACAACCGATAATTTCCGGCTTTCATTATAAATTTTACAAATAAAATTTAATAATAGTTTTAATTATCTTAACAAAATTTGAATTGCTTGTTTCTAAACAATTTTCAATGTTCTAGAATGCCCTTTGTTTAATTAAACTATAAACTATCATAATGGTTTTTTTCAATAGATAAAATTACATAAATATCATTTTAATATTTATATGTAACCAAAAATTTAAGAGCTAAAATAATAATGACGAATTCACAAATAAATCTGTAACTTTCCATGTACAATATCCAAAGTAAAATTTTATAAGCCTGAATTAATTCTGTTATCTCACGTTTTGTTCCAAATAATCTCGTACAACATTTGGGCTAAAATATATTACGAAAATAAAGATAAATTATCATTTCTCAGAAATAACTAACAAACAATTATTTTTAATTTGATAATAATATTAAAGTAATACTTTTGTCAAGGTTTGAAAGATCCACTCAAGATAAAAAATGTACGTGAATCACAGGACGTATTATGTGGATTTTAGATATTGGAGTCAGGTGTTATGATATATTAACTGTTTAATGGAAATATGATACACATGATATATATATATATATATATATAAATTTATCGGTTTGTGTAACAAATCTATGATTTCTATTATACGTTCACTAATGTCTATTATCAGTAAACCACTGCTTTTGATTGCCTTTGTAATTTTGATTGTCATTGTTTTTCGATTGGAAGAGTAAAAGTAATATTCCATATATAAATAATTATATATCAGCTTAATAACATATTATCTATAATGAAAAATTATTTACAAGCTTCGTAAATAATAATTTATCATATCATCAGAAAAACCTCCATCGTTTTTCCTAATACAAAAGAATCCACACATGTCATTCGATGTCTTTGTTTTCCATAAGCACCTTATGTAACTCAATGGCTGTCATATTTTTTACCCATCTGCCAATCATCTTCACAATAATGAATTTTTGCCAAGACACGTCTTAATAAACTATTATTCCATCGTGATATCAGCACTTAATCAAACAATAATTTATTTTATACCACAAAAAATTATTTGCGTCCAAACTCATTATGACATGAATTATGTAATATCTTCGATCATTATTTACAATTAAATGGCCATCTCATTTTTGGATTCACCTCAAACTCACCTCCAAATGTCCTCTTAACTAATATCGCAAATTATTTTTTCTGAATTTGTTGTTAATCCAATATGAACTTTTTCTTTTTGACACACTTCTGTGATGTTTGTCTTTTATTTAAGATAAAATTTAGTGTGATTTGCAAACGTTGCTAATCTAATATATTTTTTCGTGTTAGACTTACAATATTTGTCACCTCGAACGAGATGTGTGATATTTTGGGATTAGTTTCTAAGTGGATATTAAAATAAAATATTTGCTGATTTGTTCATATGATGACATATTTGATGGTCAATTATTGATATGTCTTAATTGAGTTTGTGAAATAATATAATTTATCTTTTGTCAAAATCTTTATTAGGAACTGATAATAAAGTATTGCACAAAGTTTTTATTTAATTTTGTGTATTTTTACTTCTATCAAATAGCTACGATAAACTTGGTTCTATTGATTCTAAATTTTTGTACATTTTGATTTTAGGCTATATACAAACGTAGATAAAATTATTTTTTATTTAATTTCTTATATCATATTTGGTAGTTGATGTAAAATTAAATTCTGTTGCCCTTTGGAAAAACATGGAACTAAAAATGCTAAGTAATTGTTGAAGTACTCTTCATTAGTTTTAAAATTATAAATTATATAGATTGCTTTCTTTTTATTTATATGCAAAAGTATGCAATTTATCAATATTAGCTGACCATTTTTTTTAAATTGCTCGATTTAAATTTTTGTTTTAATTTGCATAGTTTATATCTAAATAAATATCAGATGTAGAGTTTAGCGAGGCGTTTAATAGAAAAAATAGTTTCTTTCTTTTATATAAAAAATAAACTAAAATGTATATAATGAATTTCTATAAAATAATTATATTAATATTTTATGATTACTAAAATTAATATTAAAATTACCTAATAGAGAGATAGAGATAGATAGAGATAGTTATAGAGAGATAGAGATAGAAATAGAGATAGAGATGGAGATAGAGATGGAGATAGAGATAGAGATAGAGATAGAGAGAGATAGATAGAGATAGAGTAAAAGATAGAGAGAGATAGAGATAGAGATAGATCTATAAGCTCAAGTGGGTATTGGATATCATGCTGCCTAATATCGAGCATGGCCAAGGTTGGAATCAAACCCCGGACTTCATGCTAGCCCATAATCAAAAATACCCTGTTTATACTAAAATAAGTGTTTCAATTCTAATAATTGTATTAGAATTTTTTTATTGAAGAGGAGTCTATCATAAAGGATTTGTGTCCATTACAAATACAAGTATCCTAGAGCTTAAAAGGTTATTCTTACACTCGTTTTGCTGATTTAGACTATTATTTTTCTTACTCCATGATAGAGGCATAAATAAAGTAATTCCATAGCATTTTTTATAAAATCATATATTTTTTTACCAGCTCCTAATTTGAATATAGGTGTCTACATATCAAGCATCAAATACAATCGATTTACCAGCGTTTTGCTCAATTTTGTGAAGCTAATATGTCGACCCGAACGATTAAGTTACCTATTTAATTAAATTTAACGCGTTTATCGATTGTAACTATATTAAATGAACTCTACACAGAAAAGCCTCACATATATTTCGTTAGAACTGATTTAATTTACCTTAGGTTTACTATTAAATAGGAGCCTGATCATTCTTAATAAAATTTACAATTATTTCATGAACATTGATATTTATCAATTATCATAAAGCTTTGGATACAGAATTTTTTTGATATATTTTAATTTAACTCAATTATGATTTAAATATCTAAACTCAGTTTTTTGGTCGGCAACCTATCCCAATTCACACCAAATTAAATAATAACACTTTATAGAAATCGAATTCAATTTTATATTTAATTTTGCTAAAAAGAGTTTATTAAAGAAATAGTGCGATGAATTATTGATTTCGCCCTTTCCACTCGCTAATTCCGAGATTTATCGGCGGCATCCGATTGGAAAGGGTTAATATTTTTCTCTTCAATCTATATATATATATATATATATATATATATATATATATATATTATTGAAGTCGTTAATAACTGAATACTGTTATTATTAATTATAGAGTTTTTTTATAGTTATTTATTTCCAGTTTTTTGACTTTACAAAAATATTTTTAATAATAAAATCTGTTATCGAAATAATTCCTGATGTAGATAATGTTTCATTAAAAATATCACATATCAAATTATCTACGAGTCGAGTGCAAGTGCATCATACAGGTGTCAACATGATATATGGAATGCAATACTAGGAAAAATTTAAATAGTGATTCATAATTGTTTTTTTGCTACGTAGATCAAATTTCTTAAATTATAAATACTCTAAATTGAAAACTTACCATTTAGCTCTATATTTTTCTATGAAATTTTCTCTGAAATTATTTTTAAATTCTCGGTCAAATTTTGGGCATTTAATTAGAAGCTACGGCCCATAAGAATAGTAATCAATTTTGTAATCCATGCACTAAAAATGAGGAAAATTGACTCTACATTTTTAAATTTTTTGTTTGACTTTATTATAGTTCTCAAAATTTTATGAAATTTCAAT